CATGGGGAGGAATTTTCTCTCTCAGCCGGACACTGCCCATCCCAGGAGGCAGAATCACAGCAAAGGGAATAATTTGTGCTCAAGGAACCTCTCAGAGGTGACCAAAGACCCACTGTAGAATGGTTTGGCTTGGAAAGGACCTTGAAGATTCTCTTGTCCAAACCCGTGCAGTGGACAAAGGCACCTTCCACTATCCCAGGTTGCTCGAAGTCCTGGCCAAACTGGCCTTGATCATTACCAGGGTTGAGGCAGTCACAGCTTCTCTGGGTGACCTGTGCTGGGCCCTCATCACTCACACAGAGAAGAATTTCTTCACAATATCCCATCTAACTCTATCGTCTGTCAGTGGGAAGACATTTCCTCCCATCCCATCACTCTCTGTTTGTGTAGGAGATAATGGAGTTCAACTCAACCTGCTCAAGGAAGGACAGCTCAACAAGGCTGCCCATGGTCATGTCAACATGAGGTTTAGTAACTTGAGGCCATTTCCACTTGTTCCATCGCTTGCTAATAGGGAGGAAAGACCAATAGTCTTACAAAAGAACTCCTTTCAGACAGCTGAGGAAAGGGAGATGATTTCTCCTTTGGCTGCCTTTCTGCATCTAAAACTCTGCAGTTCCTAAAACCACTACTCAAAACCTTGTTCTCCAGATAACTCAGCAGCTGTTCCGAGGATGTATTCCACCACAGAAGAACCATTGTAACATCAGAGTGGCAAAGCCGGAGCAGAACCAAGGAGAAAGGCAAGTCCAAAAGACAGGTCTGGTGACCTGGTGGAGACGTGAGGAAGAATGACCATGATGTAAAGGTCAGCTCCTCACTCATGGCACAGCTGCAAAGACCAGACCATCCTGACAGGGTTGTAATGGAATGGGGTCCCTTTGCACAACACACCCATGAACCGAGCAACACAAGAGCAATAGGGTGGGGACTCTGATGACATCTCTAGGTTATTGCCATCTATTCTTCATTCTTGGGCACACAGCTGAAACAAAATCCAGCCAAAATAAAAACTGTCACTTTAAAGTTGCTGCCAAGGTCAGATGAACAGGAACTCATGAGCAGGACATGACACAGCAGAGCTGGGGGAAAGAAAACACTCCCCACCTCATGACACACACCAGGCTGGGTCAGCAAAGAGGTGCTGCCTGCAAAATTGCCCCAAGGCCATGGGACAAGACTGGCCCGCCCTTCCTGGACCGGCATAAAAGCCGGCCCAGAGCCTCTCTCCCTCACACACTTCTCCTCAAGCCTTCTGCTCTGGTGTCTACAACCAGGTGAGCCTCAAGCCCCTGACCCTCCTGCTCTTTCCCCGTGGCCCTGATCTTCCAGCAAGCTTAACTCCAGCCTCAGCAGCCCTCACACTTCCCCACAGACCCACAACGGCCTCCACGCTCTCTTGCCTCCTTTCCCCTGCAGACAAACCACACCGCGGACTCCACCACCCCTACCCTGCCTCACCCTCCTCTCTCTTTCCAGGCACCCTCCACACCACACCCATGGCCTGCAACAGCCTCTGCCGTCCCTGTGGACCCACCCCGCTGGCCAACAGCTGCAACGAGCCCTGTGCCCTGCAATGCCAGGATTCCCGCGTCATCATCAACCCTTCCCCTGTGCTGGTCACCCTGCCAGGACCCATCATGACCTCCTTCCCCCAGAACACCGCCGTCGGATCCACCTCCTCCGCTGCTCTGGGCACTGAGCTCAATGCCCAGGGACAGCCCATCTCTGGCGGATTTGGCTTTGGCCTTGGCTACGGCCTGGGAGGCCTGGGCTGCTATGGCACAAGGGGCTATGGCTCCATCTGCTAAGGCCCTCAGCACCACCCCTGACACCACCAGCTCTGCCCTCTGCCAACAGCTCCTGCAAACAAAGCACCTCGGCTGGTGGGAGCCAGCCTTGCACATCAGACCAGCTCTCCTCAATTTCTTCAACTTCCCTCACCATTCTTTTGCCTCAATAAATTTCTGCTGCATCAAAGCTGTACATGTCTCCTCTCCTTTTTGAAATCTGCCTCACATGATTACCTGTGCGACCCAGGAAATTCCTCTGGCTGCCCTGGAGGACTTGAGACCCTGTCAGGGGGCTCAGAGACCTTGGCACAGAGCCCAAGACCCCTGTGCCTTTGATTTAGCCCTTGGAAAAAACAATTACCAACCTTGTATGAAGAATTGCAAGCCATGAAATTTTAAGTAGAAGAATAGTGAATTTATCACAGAGTGGAAAAATAGATTTTTGGGATTTTTAGAATGGAGGTTCAGCAGGCAAGATGGAAGAATCAGGGTGTGTTCAGCCTTTCTCTTTCTTCTTCTTGGCCTCCATTTTCTGCTGTGATGTTGGCACGTGTAGATTGGTTTAGAGTAGAAGCTTACTGTCTAACATGGATGATAGGTATTAGAAACTAATTGTAAATATTGCACACATAGTTTTTAGTATAAAAAGATAACACCACCCCGGGGGAGGCAGAGTGCCTTGGACTGTCTTGCTGAGTGGACCTCAGCTGGATAGGAGAAAATATTTCATAGATAAGATACAATAAAGAACCTTCAGACCAAGAACTAAAGAGCTCTGACTCCTTTGAGTGCCGGGCTGCTAAAAGAGACTTTTTAATGTTTCTCGGGGTGACTCTGACCAGCTAGAGACCCCAAGACTTACCCAGCACAGCGCCAGAAATGAATGGGCCCTGGGAGTAGATGGAACATGGCACAACACATTTGTTAGGAAATACATCCCTACCAGGAACAACAAGACATGTACGAGAAAATTGGTTGATGGGGGACCTTCCAAAACAGGACCCAAAGCCATGACCCAAAGGTTTTGACACATCCTTGTTCCCCAGTTCATCACTGATTCTGGCTAAGTCTCTCCAGGCCAGCACACACTTGACAAAATCTCTTCCGAGTAGGAATCTCAAACCTTTCGACATCCACTTAGGCACAAACTCTGGAGTGCAAGTGCTTCAACTCCCCTGCTCAAGCAGAGTCAGCAAGAGGAGGATTCCCAGCAGCATGGACAGTGCAGATTTGGATCACCCAGCACAGAGACTCCACCACCTCTTCCCCTCTGTGACCATCCTCAGTTTGAAAAATTCTTTCGCTGCCCAAAGAATTCCATCTCATTTCCCTTTTGGCCTTGTGCCGCTGTTCTGCACATGGGCACTGCTGAGAACAGCCAGGATCCCTCACATCTTTCCATGCCAGCAGGAATTTGTACACACTGATAACACCCCCATCCATCCTTGTTTTCTGGGAGTCCCAGCTTTCTCAGCCTCTCCTCCATGAAAGATCTTCCAGTCCCTTTAGAAGTATTCTGGCTCTGAACTAGACTTTCTTCACTGATCCTATGGACTTCTTCGAACCATTTTCTGAAACCTATCTTGAACACTGGTGGCAGCTTTTGAAGTGAGGCTTGATAGAGACCTTCTGGTAACTTTGTTCTCCACCAGCATGACAGGGTCCTGCACTGCAAAGCTCCTACTCAGCCTCTCAGCCCCCAGCATGACCTGGGGTCCATTGTCATTCCTGTCCAGATGCAGAACTTCACATTTTGTTCTCCAGAACCTCAGGAGATGCCTTTAACCCTCACTCTCCAGTTCCCTCAGACTGGGGGCACAACCAAGTGGTGCATCAGCCACTCCATTCAGCTGCCAACTTGCTGAGGGGACAACATTCCCACTGTCCAGATCTTTCTTGAGGAGGTTGGACAGGGTTGCACTCATGCATACAACTCCTTATCTACTTCCCTTGAGACTTTACTCCATCTGGACTTTGGGCCACTGATTAACAACCTCTAAGCCTGGTTCCTCCAACTGAACATCCCCAGTTCCTTCACCTGCTCCTTATGTGTCTTGTTCTCCTTATCGTTCACCAGTTTTCCTTTCCATGTATAAGATCCCAACTCTGTGACCCCACAGTGGAACCTTCCTGGGCCCAGTAAGATAACTGCTATGGATGAGCTAACGCAAAACTCTGGGGAGCATGGGAGGCCTCCCTTAATCACAGAAATCACTTTCTGATCACCCTCATGAGAAGCCAGGCATATAGACAAGCTTGAAGAGATGGAGGCAAGGAAAGGAAGGAGTGAATGCAATGGAAGAGTCCAGGTGATCACAGCTAAACAGAGGCAAAGCCCAGACCAGCCTGACCGACCTCTGAAAGTTTGGGGCCCCTCTTCACAACACACCCACAAACCAAAACCATGAGTTCCACAGGCTGACCTCACGCATGACACCGCAGCTCTTCAAAGTATTACTCATCTCTTCAGTCCCCTTTGACAAGTGCCATCAATACTAGACTTTGGTTTCAAATACACTTTTAAGAAGGAATGACCATGGTGGAAGGGGCAGATCCTCATGCACAGCACAGCTGCAAAGTCCAGACCAGCCTGACAGGGCTGAGAGGGAATGGTGGCCCCTCTTCACAGCACACTCACAAACTAAACCACACAACTGCCACAAAATAACCACACTGGTGACACTGATATTGTTATTAGGACTTTGTTGCATATTTTTCTCTGACACACAACCTCCATGCCAATGCTCCCAAATAACAACTCTTAATTTAAAGCTGCTGCCAAGGTCAGATGGACATGGTCTCAAGAACAAGACATGACACTGCAGAGTTGTGGGAAGGAAAACACTACCCACATCATCACTCACTATGCTGTGACAGGCAAGATCTGCAGCCCTCAAAATGCCCCAGGGTCTGGGGCCAACGCTGTCCCGCCCCTCCAGGACCAGCATAAAAGTGGCCCAGAGCCTCGCACACTCACACACTTCTCCTGACTCCTTCTGCTCCAGTACTGACAATCAGGTGAGCCTCAAAACCCTGACCCTCCTGCTCCTGCACCCCTGACTGCTCTCATCCTGCCTGCTTGGATCCAGCCTCAGCAGTCCTCATCCCTCCCTACAGCCCCACAGCAGCCTCTACACTCAATCGCTCTTCTGACATTCTGCACCTTGCACCCTCACACCCCTGCCCTGCCTCCCCCTCTCTCTTCCAGGCACCCTCCACACCATCCATGGCCTGCTACAACCGCTGCACTCCCTGCGGACCCACCCCGCTGGCCAACAGCTGCAACGAGCCCTGTGCCCTGCAATGCCAGGATTCCCGCGTCATCATCAACCCTTCCCCTGTGCTGGTCACCCTGCCAGGACCCATCATGACCTCCTTCCCCCAGAACACCGCCGTCGGATCCACCTCCTCCGCTGCTCTGGGCACTGAGCTCAGTGTGCAGGGACAGCCCATCTCTGGGGGATTTGGCTTTGGCCTTGGCTATGGCCTGGGAGGCCTGGGCTGCTATGGCAGAAGGGGTGGCTCCATCTGCTAAGGGCTCTTGGAACCAACCCTGAAACAGGGAATTTGATACTCTGGTAACTGGTCCTGAGGGAAAAACTCCTCAGCTGATGGTTGTCCTACTTCTAGCTCACATGATTGCTTCCACTTGTTTCTTTTGTCTTTTCCATCTTTTGCCTCAATAAACTTCTCTTGCAACCAAAGCCTGAGACAAGGCTGCTTCTTTTTGAATTCCAAAGCTCTCACACCCTCACCCTGAACATTTCTATGAATTATCAGGCCATTGGGGTGGATGGAAAAGGGGAACAACACCTTTCTTAGCAAATTGCTCACCACCAAGAAACTCCAATACTGTTATGGAAGCAGGGACTGGAGGGGACACTTCCTAAAACATGACACAAGCCCACTCCCTGATACACCAAAGCATTTGACCAAATCCTCTTCTGGGCATAAAACTGGAAGAGTCACTCCGTGCTGGCACACACTTGACAAAATCTCTTCCCAATAATACTCTTGAAGCCTCACCACAAAATAAAAAAGGAATAACATCATTCACTTGGGCACAAACTCTAGAGTGGAAGTGCTTCCACTCCACTGATCAAGCAGAGTCAGCAAGACCCAGATTTTGGATATCCCAGGACAGAGCCCCTCACCTCATATACTTTCTCAGCACTCTAACAATGAAAAGTTCTTGCCTTTGCCCATAGAATTGCGTCCATTTTCATTTGTGCCCTACCCCATTGTCCTTCACTGCTGAGAACAGCGGGGCTCCCTAGATCTCATTCCCTGCCATCAGGGATTTACACAGACTCATGCCACTCCCACCCATCCTTTTCTCCTGGGAATCTCCAGCTCTCTCAGCTCTCCTCTAGCAAGATCTCTTTCAGGATCTTGCTGGTGCTCCACTCATCTTCTTTTACAGTCCCACTGCCGCCATCGTTGCTGAGGATCTTGAGCAGGGCCAGCCTCATGAATACAACCCTTGACATCCTTCCCTTGTGTCATGGTTTGACCAGGAAGAAGTGGGAAGTCTGGGATGCTGTGGTCAAACCAATGGGTGCTCAGATTTTGATATTGGCACCTGATATGGCCAGTGGGGTTTCGACACACCTCTGAGAACACACAAGGCTTAAAAACCAGAGCTTCGGCCCTGGGAGGCTCTCTTGGGACTTCAAGGGAAAGAGGTTGTATCTCCCTTCCCTGTTCAGCTGCTGCTGCTGGGCAGGGGAGGGGCAGCCATGCGGTAGGCCTGGGCCTGGACAGAGATGGGGGGTGAGGAGGCCCTTGAGGATGGAAGGGTAGAAGAGCCCCAAGAGACATCGGGCAGCCATGCCCCCCCCCGCCCCCAGAGGAGACAGAGAGGGAGAGCCAGCAACGGAATGTGATAGCAGCCGCCGAGGAGGAGAAGGGGAGAGTGCGGCGAGAAGGTGCCCAGCATCAGCGTGGGAGTGCCAGAGCTCTGGGACAGGCAGAAATTTTTAACCCTTTTTCTTACATGATTGGGACCTTGCAAAAATGCTGATCCTCCTCGGAGCTGAATAAGAAGAGAGATAAGGGATGAGATAACAAGGACTAGGCCCGAGGGAAGTGGAGAAGACTGGCTGAGTGGGGAGAGATGATTGGAGTGGCCTTTTGGCTGGACTTTTCTTATGTGGCCATAGACTGAACCAGTTTTATTCCTGTGACACAGAGACTGCATTTAGGGGGAGGCAGTGCCTCAGAACCAGGAGGGTTCATTGTGGGTAACCCTCGGCCCCAGGGGGTGGAAAAAATGGGGGGGACAGATGTCCCAAAGCAGAGACTTTGCCTTTTTTGGAGTGAGACAAAGCATCCTTAAAGGACAACCCTAAAAGCAGCTCTGGTCCATGCACAGTGGTGAGAGCACTGGGCATGGAAGGAAGATGTCACCATGGCAAAAGGACTTTCCGGGCGGTGCCGAGTGACATGGAAGCACACGAGGTTTCAACGTGTTTCCAGGGGAAGGCTATGGTGCAAGAAGGACTCCTCTTCATGAACTGAAGTTTGAATATTCTAAAGGGTGGTGTCAGACTGGGCAGTTGGTGATGTGGGGGAATGTATTGGATTGGGAAATTTTGGTGGTGGGGAGGAGGAAAGTGCTTTTTTTGTAAGGTTTTCAGTTTTTTCCCTTATAGTTTTTTTTCTTCTTTTCTTGTACTTTAGGTAATAAAGTTTTCTTTATTTTTAAGCTGGAGCCTGCTTTGCTTATTCCTGGTCACATCTCACAGCAGACACCAGGGAGAGGATATTCTCATGGGGGCACTGGCTCTGTGCCAGGCCTAAACCATGACACCTTGAGACTTGATTCCATCTGGACTTCATGCCACCGATCCCCAGCCTCTGGAACCACCTTTTCAGCCACTCTCAGGCCACTCACTGCACTCTCTGGCTACCTGGACTTGTTCGGATGATCTGGGAGTGTAGAATGGGAAGGAGCATCCAGAGCTTCACAAAACGGTTGTGTCCAACAGCACCACATCTCTCTCCTCATGCCCAGGCTGAGTCTCTGGCACAGGGCAGACACACAGCTCAGCCAAGCACCATTTCCTCAAGGGAAATCCTCCAAGAGAACTGGCCTCACCCATTGACACTTGCAACAACTCAGGAACCCAAAGGCCTGGCTCAACGCCTCACCTGCTGCTGCTCCCATCTACCCCCTCCTCCCTTGCACAGCTGCCCACAACACCCTTGGAATCCCTTCAGCGGGAAAAAATGCTGGACATTCAGTCCAAATGTAAACCAAATCAGTGAATGCCACCAATCTCAGAAATGCTTCATTTCTAGAAGACCTAAATGTAACATGGCATCAAGTCCAACCATTCTGACATCACTTCTAAGGCCATCATTAAACATCCCTAAAGTCCAAAGCTCCATGGCTTCTAAATTCCACAGCAATAGTGAATTCACTACTGTCCTGGGCAGCCATGTACAGGACTTGAAACTCAAACTTCCAAACACAACCTGTCCAGGGGCAACTTAACTCCATTTCCTCTTCTCCTATGGCGGGATAAAAGGAAGACGAGATTAATGTCAAATTATTTCTATTCATTTTACTCCCGAAGGCAAAAGAGTCAACCTTCTTCTGAAAATTGAACATGCCCAGCTCCTTCACCTACTCCTCATTTGTCTTGTTCTCCTTATCCGTCACCACTTTCCCTTCCATTGTGTACGAGGCCAGCTCTGTGACCCCAAACTGTGACCTTCCTGGGCCCAGGTAAGATGAGTGCTATGGGTGAACCAACACAAGACTTTGGAGATAATGGGAGGCATCCCTGATTCACAGCGATCGCTTTCTCATGTCCAAGAGGAAAGGAAAGGCATAGAGACAGGCCTGCCGGCATGGACCAAAGAAGCGAGGGAGAAAACAGGATGAAAGGTCCATAGCTATCACCCTATTTGCAGAGTACATCTGCAAATCCGAGATCATCCTAACAGACCTGGGAAGAAAGGAGGCCCGTCTTCACAACACAGCCACAAACCACAGCACACCAGTGCTGAGAAATGAGTTCATGGATGACACCTCACTGACCAAAGCTTTGGTCATCTCGTCAACCGTCTCTAAAAACAACCTTGGGCTTTATTAGTTGCATTTAAAAGCTGCCTCCAACGTCAGATTGACACAGACTCAAGAAGAGGACATGGAATTGCAGAAATGCAGAAAGGAAAACATTCCGCACCTCATGACTCACCAGGCTGGGTCAGCAAAGAGTTACTGCCTGCAAAATGCCCCAAGGCCATGGCACAACGCTGTCCCACTCCTTCAGAACCAGTATAAAAGGCCATCAAGAACTTCACTCCCTCACACACTTCTCCTCAAGCCTTCTCCTCCTGCTGACGACCAGGCGAGCAGCATGCCCCTGACCCTCATGCTCCTGCACTACTGGCCTCTTTCTTCCAGCATGCTCAGCCCCAGCCTCAGCAGCCCTCATGCCTCCCCACAGCCCCACAACAGACTCCACACTCCATCACCCTTCTGACATTCTGCCCATTACCCATTGCACCCTGTCTAATCTCAACCCCATCTCTTCCAGGCACCCTCCACACCACACCCATGGCCTGCTACAACCGCTGCACTCCCTGCGGACCCACCCCGCTGGCCAACAGCTGCAACGAGCCCTGTGCCCTGCAATGCCAGGATTCCCGTGTCATCATCGACCCTTCCCCTGTGCTGGTCACCCTGCCAGGACCCATCATGACCTCCTTCCCCCAGAACACCGCTGTCGGATCCACCTCCTCCGCTGCTCTGGGCACTGAGCTCAATGCCCAGGGACAGCCCATCTCTGGCGGATTTGGCTTTGGCCTTGGCTACGGCCTGGGAGGCCTGGGCTGCTATGGCAGAAGGGGTGGCTCCATCTGCTAAGGGCTCTCAGAACCACTCCTGACACAGGGAATTTGATACTCTGGTAACTCGTCCTGAGGGAAAAACTCCTCAGCTGATGGTTGTCCTACTTCTACCTCACACGATGGCTTCCACTTGTTTCTTTTGTCTTTTCAATCTTTTGCCTCAATAAACTTCTCTTGCAATCAAAGCCTGAGACAACGCTGCTTCTTTTTGTATTCCAATGCTCTCACACCCTCACAGGGGACATTTCTAGGAATTACCAGGCCATTGGGGTGGATGGAAAAGGGGAACAAAACCTTTCTTAGCAAATTGTTCACCACCAATAAACACCAATACTGTTATGGGAAACAGGGACTGGGGCGGACACTTCCTAAAACATGACACAAGCCCACTCCCTGATACACCAAAGCATTTGACCAAATCATCTCCTGGACATAAAACTGGAAGAGTCACTCTGTGCCGGCACACACTTGACAAAATCTCTTCCCAGCAAGACTGTTCAATCCTCACCACAATAAAAGGAAATAATATCATTCACTTGGGCACAAACTCTAGAGCGAAAGTACTTCCACTCCACTGATCAAGCAGAGTCAAGGAACTGCGAGATTTCCAGCACAATGGACAGAGCAGTTCTGGATGTCCAGCATGGACCTCATCACCTCTTCCATTTTCTC